GCTAGCCTTGAGCTGAAGAGCTGAGGGACAGCGTCCAGGCCCCACGACCGGACCCCCCCCAAAAAAGTATTTAAAAGTTAAATAGAAGAATATTTCATTAGACAGATGAAGAAAAGGAGGAACATTGCAAGAAATGTAACTGGTTATTGCTACAAAATAGGTAGTGCAAGAGGGTCTCTAAACCAAGTTCCTGACTCTAAGAAAAACAGCACAGAATATGTATCATAATGTCTGGAATGTTTCCTTGAAAAATCCAGAGAATTGATTAAGATAGGATAAGCAAATACTTAAGAAATGTAGACAATACAGTATAAAAGAGGAGGCGGTCAGCCGGGTCCCAGTGATGGCTCATGCCTGTAATCCTAGCTATTCAGGAGGCTGAGATCTGAGGATCGTGGTTCAAAGCCAGCCCGGGCAGGAAAATCCATGAGACTCTTATCTCCAATAAACCACTAGAAAACCAGAAGTGGCGCTGTGGCTCAAGTGGTAGAGCACTCGCTTTGAGCTGAAGAGCGCAGGGACAGTGCCCAAGCCCAGAGTTCAAGCCCCACGACCGACCAAAAAAAAGGGGCGGGGGGGAGAAGGGTATATGAGTCTTAAGAAACCAAACAAGTCAACTGAGAAGCTCAATGCACAACTGAATAACTGATCTAGCTCAATATAAACTCACTCACAAATTTTCTCTCATTCTCTTACAAGGATGCATGTGTATACACATATCACGTATAAAATGCTTTTTTATATTTCTTATTTACTTAAACTAAGGATCAGGAAACAGTGAAACTGGAGGCCATCCTACTCAAATTTCTTCATTTTCCAACAGATTAAGGAGATAACTAGAGAGATAAATTGTTCATTGTCCATCAAGTAAAAGTCAATAAAAATGTACCATTTAGTTAACGGATTGTTAAAATTAAGATCACTGTTGTACTTAGGTTTTCAAATTTGAACTCCAGGTGCTCCAGGTGATAGAAGTCTCATAGACTTTCCTGCCTGTGCTGGCTTTGAACTATGAAGTTCAGGTCTAAGCCTCCTGAGTAGCTAGGATTACAGGCATGAGCCACTGGCACCCAACAAGGGTAAGAATACTAGGATTTGAACTCAGGGACCTGTGCTCATTAGGCTTGACTGATCAGTTGTCACTCTTCTAGCCACACCTCCAGCCTGGTATTTTCTAGTTATTTTGCAAAGTCTCACAGACTTTTCTGCCTGGGTGGGCTTCAAACTGTGATCCTCTGAGTCTCAGCTGGTACCCAGCTCAATTCCATTTGAAAGCAAAGCTTTACTGAGGGTCTTCTATCTTATCTGGACTTTGAGAAGTTGTCATCCTCTTAGCACTGTATATTTTTATAATAGTGTCATCATAACAGCCAAAATGTATGAATGATTGCCATGTACTAAATACTCCATATGCCATTTTTTAATCCTGGAAATAATATAATGAGGCAGACAGAATTATTTACTCCCAGTATAAAGAAGATGGAAAGTTCACAAGGAAGTAGATTATGTAAAGTCATGCTAGTAAGTATGAGGGGCAGGTTTCAATATGTGATGGTTTTACCCTAGACCTTAAGGTTCTTTACTAGCTAGCTTCTTCAAAATCAGGGCAAGGCCTGAATATTACCAATTAAATACTCAAGTGTCCTACTCTCTAACTTCAAGGTGAGGAGAAATCCTTTCCTATCAAGTATAACTGTAGTTTATCTCAACATTCCTGATGAGTCACAGATAGTAAATACAGTGTGTATACCACTGATTTTTGAAGTAGATTAGTGGCAAGATTGCCTTGCATTTTCTCTCTCAGGGTAAACGTACTTATAAAAAAAGGAAGAAGGGTGTGGTTTACTGTTAAGGAAAGGAAGAGGGCAAGAGAAGATTGGATATCATAAGCTGCTGTAGAGATGGAAATCTTATGCAGATTTTGCAGTTCACTCTATTTTAGATGGGCTTGTTTTGGGGATCACATGAAGAAGAAGGGGTAGGCAGGGGAAACTAGGCTTTCCCTTAACAAGACATATAATTTTTAGAACCTCAGTGATAGCTAGTGAGAGCCTGGGCCTAGTGACTCACCCAGTGGAGGCTGCAGCATACCACCATTCTTCTCACAGTTCCCAATAGGCTGAATCTCAGCTGAGTCAACCAGCCGCCAGAAGTCATTCTTGTTGTCACTGCCATCAAGACGCAGGCGGAGGCGAGCACCTGTTAGTCCAACTACTGTGGCAATACAGGTGGATGTGGTGTTTCTGGGGTCCTGTGCTTCCAGTTTCATGCTGATTTTGAACTCGTTGCTTGGAGGTGTATATGACTGAGGAGAACAAGAGATTCGGCAGACTAAGAGTAAGCTGAATTTTCAGTAAGGATGGAACCTAAAAACATATGCTTTAAACTCAAATTGGCTACAGTTGGGTAAGGGACTACCAGTCTGAATTATTCCTTAGCATGTAGGAAAAATTTTATACAAAATTACTTTCCTCAGAAGCATCAAATATTGACTCATACCAGTAAAAACAAATCCAAACAAAAATAAGTGTTTCATAGTCCAGCTATTTAGTGCTTCCTTATCCCACCTTCTCCAACACTCTACCCTCTAGTATCATACGGTAATTCCATTAAGTTACCATACCTCAGTGTCTTCCATGGAACATTCATTATAGTAGTCTGTATTATATATCACACAAATTATTAGGAGTTTATTTTTTCTTATTTTGACTAAGATTACAAACAAATTCATATAATCAACAAATAATACACTATACACTTTTGTTAAGTATTGACTTTTTATATACTTATGACAACATATACCCTATATGTACACAACTACCAAAGTATCACCAGTTAGGATCATGAACATCATTCATTACTTTCAAATTCTCACATGCTCCTTTATAATTGCTTTTTCTGGCATCTCTGAGAAATTCCATGCTCAGAATTGACTTTCTATCATGATAAATTGATTTACATTTTCTAGTCTTAGGTAGAATCATAAAGGATGTATTCTTTTTGTTTAGTTTCTTTTAGTCTATTCTGATATTCACCAGTATTATTGATTGTATCTCTAATATGAAAGTCTGAAACTCAAAATGTTCCAAGTCTCTCCCATGGTATAACCCCTATTTTCGCTATATTTGATGTTGGTATAATTTGTGGAGGGGAAGGGAAAAAAATTGTTTAAATAGGGATACAGGTTAACCCATTGCAACAATGAGATGTACAAGAGACTATGTGGAAAAACGAACTTCACAACTTTGGCCAAGGGGGGGAAGGGGGAGCGGGGGCTGGGTGGGGGGATATAGGAAGGGATGGGAAGGGTAAACAAAGGAGGAGGCAACAATGCTTGATAAGAAATGTACTCTGGGAATGTGGCTTAGTGGTAGAGTGCTTGCCTTGCATGCACGAGACCCTGGATTCGATTCCTCAGGACCACATAGTGGTCCTGTGGCTCAAGTGGTAGAGTACTATCCTTGAGCTGAAGAGCTGAGGGACAGTGCCCAGGCCCAGAGTTCAAGCCCTATGACCAGAAAAAAAAAAATAGAAATGTACTCATCACCTTGCCCATGTAATTGTAACCCCTCTGTATGGTATTTTCACAATGAAAAAAAAAAATCTGTCCAAAAAAAAAAAAAGCTCCAAATCTGAAATTTTTTGAGAAACTGATATGATGCCATAAGTGGAAAATTGCATAGTTTAAAATGATGAGTTGCACTCAAAACATAGGTACTCTAAAATTATTAGATAAAATTGCTTTCATTTTAGGGGCTGGGAAGGTGGCTCAGTGGT